TTTCTGCAGCAATACATGGTAATCTGATAAGCAGCCTACACCCGCTGCTCTCCATCCATGCCTAGTATAGTTTTTCTAGTGTTGGCAATGTTTGGCAAGCCTGCAACTTCTTGCTGAGCTCTCCTAGCCCTCTTTATTCATTCATTTCTTTCTCTCTTTAAATAATATAGTCCTACACCGAGGCATTAGCTCTGCAAGACGGTCACAAGACGTTTAGGCTCCATTCACACTTCAACATCAAAATCATGCAATGTTCATTGTGACTTTACAGTGCAACCTGATGTGACTTTGACATGACGATGGATGAGTGCGACTTTGGCTTTGACCAAGGATAATTGTTTGTGTTGTACAAAGTTGCTCACAAGTTGCATGTATATCATTTAGGTGCGACTTTCATGCAACTTTGGAGGGTCTATGACCCTCAAGTCGCATGAAAGTCGGACAAAAGTAGTGCAGGAACTTACTTTCAAGTCACTGCGACTTGATTTTGCATATATATGAATAGAACTCGTTGGGAAACATGGGGTGCAACTTGTCATGCAACTTAGGGCTCCAAAGTCACATGACAAGTCGCACAAGTGTGAATGGGCTCTTAAAGGCTAGGTTCACTTTTTTCTCTAATTTCCAGCTCCCCTATGTACCGATATATCATTAATGTACCCCAGTTGAAAAAAAATAAAAGCTCTCTTTGATTTCAAGAACAAGGCCTTACCTTAGCCTTTGTTGTATTTCTTAGAAAGCTTCATCACTTGCTGATATGAATATTTAGGACAGAGGAGCCAGTAAGACACAGGAAGAATTTTACCAGCTATAAAGAAGATTGTACAGAGATTGTACAATCAGATGGCCACCTTTATACACCTAAAATCAACTAGTTGCATTTTCAGTGCCATTAATCGTTAACAGCACACCAAACACAGAATCAAACACTCATTTTGCCAGATGAAAAAAGGGGTGACAAATGCAGCAAAAACACAGTAAAAAACGTGCAACTCGCACCATGCCAAAATGTCCCATGAGCAACTTTGCCACAAGAACTATGGCATAAAAGGACCCAACTTAACAATCCATTCAATTTGACAGGCTCTTGCACTACATAACTGATGGGAGATCTAAAGGAGAGTGTACAATCAGATTGTAATGTGTATGGTCATCTTAAGGGAAGAAGTAGGTGGTGGTATAATAATGAGGGAGGTGTGGCCCAGACTGGTAATACACACCCTACCCTTTTCTGTAATGCAAAAACACAGAGAATGGTGGGAGCTGTCCTACAAGAAATGATGGATGCAAGCTGAAAGAATTGTTTAGAACTCAGACAGAAACATGACATTTCAGACTCTTTGTGGACAAGGTGAGAGACGAGCATTGGGATGGCTGCCATTACAACCTGGATTTATTTTCAGCTGGGGTGCAGGCCTTTGACAGGAAGGTCTTGCAAGCTGTGGTCCCGCCTTAAGGGAGTACGTTTTTGTTTATCTTTTCATGTGCGGTCCTGAAAGACATTTTGAGAAAATCCAACTTAGACTTACTGGTAACTTGTTTTCTAGTAGTCTTTCAGGACAGCAATAATTGCCCAAACTGATATTGTTTATGCTGTTGTGCTTATGTTTTTCAGATGGGCCACAGGTATTCTTCGACAACTGTGGGGGAGAGTCCTCCAAATAATGTCTGTGTGGGTGTGTGTTTCCTGTGAGAGGAAGAGGAGCTACGTTCTCTCATGTGCTGAAAGACTACTAGAAAACAAGTTACCGGTAAGTCAGACTTGGATTTTTTGTATCTCGGTTCCTGTGTGGTATGAAGGAGTGAATGGGAAGATTAATTTAAGCCGTCCATACATGGGTCACATTCGGAAATACTTGTCTTTAAAAAAATCTTTTTTCAGAATTTTTGTTTGAATTTCACAAGTGTATCACAGCAACAGCCAATTTTCGAGCTCTCAGCGAATTTGGGTGATTGGGCATGTTGGCAATGTTTTGAAAAATTAATTTCTAATCACTGATGGGAGAATTTTGCGAGAAATGTAATTGCAATATAAATGAGCATGAGCTGTGACCTGGAAAGAAAAGAAAATTCTTGGCCATGAAAATTCTTTTCTTTAGCAACATGATGTGAAATTAAAGGCTTGGTCGGTTAAATTTTGAAATTAATGGTGTCGCCATCGGATTACAAAATGCACAAAATTTCCAATTTTCTAAAGAAAATTCGTAGGAATTCAACTCATGTATGGCCTGCATACAGTAGTGTATTTAGGTTTTGTGCTGCCCTAGGCAACACAAAAATCGTCTGCCCCAAAGACACCGACCAACACCCCCCCTTCCCCCTCCAGCAGAGAGAGCCTGACATTGACCAACAACACCCCTGCCTCCCACCTGGAAGCACCTTCCAACCCCCCTTCACAACTCCGGACATCCCCGGGAACAGGAGATAGGCTCTACATACACCATCAAGCAGCTCACAGCCTCTCTCAGATCCCACCTGGTTCCCATGGCATGCATGTCCCTTTTTCATCCCTTTTTCTGGGGGGGAGGTGCCCCCCCTGAAAAATGCCACCCTAGGCAGGTGCCTTGTTTGCCTTGTGGTAAATACGCCCCTGCCTGCCTAAGACATCACACATCCCGGGGAACACCTGATCCTGACTGGAAAAATTAGTGCATTTAGACCTTCTTCCTAGTAAAGAGGTCAAATTGGTCTAGTGAGTTATTTAAGCCTTGATTTTGTGCTGGATGTTGCACATTTAACTGTGGTGGAAGCATTGGAGCATCAAGCAAGATTATCACATTTATAAAAAGACTGTCACATGTATTCTTTATTTGATATGAAGACATTTTCTTTCTTTCCTTATAATTATGAATGCACATAATGGAGTTGTGTAATATGTATTGTTTATGAGCACAAATTATTTTTTCTGAACATATTTGTCATATTTTGATATTATGAATTACACCGCACATAGAGCACCCCCTAGTGGGGTTTGATAGAGTTAGCGATCTATGTTAGTCACATTGCGTTGGCAGCTTTTGTAGACACTGTGACATGGGGTTTTCACAGTAGTTTGCATTTATGTTCTTATGTATGCATAAGGCCAGTATCACATACAGTATCTAAGGAGAAAGTGGTAGCCATTAGGACTAGTTTTCTAACATGCCCAGTCAATTATTCTCTCAGACAGAGGGTGGCCAGTGTGGTCAGGGTCCTTCCATAGATATGAAATTGCCACCCTGTCTGGTGGAATCTATGTTACATAGTTACATAGTTAGTCTGGCTGAAATAAGACAAACGTCCATCCAGTTCAACCATTAAAAAAAAAAAAGTTATAATCCTATACCCAGAGTTGTAACTAAGGGTTTCTGGCTAGATTGTGACTGTCGTCTTATGTCTATAGTTAGGCCATTGGAGTCAGGGTCTCCCACAAACATGAAAGTACAGCCCTATCTCTCTGAAAATGGTGAGAATGGGTGACTGTTATCTAATATCCAAAAATAGTTTGCACACAATCTCAATAACATACCCTCAGCAGGGATATCCTGTAAGTTATACACTGCAGATGTAGCAGCCATTTAAGACAGCCACTAGGGGGTTCTCATCAAAAAAAATTGTTTTTAGATACTTTTTACACGCTTCAGTTAAAGGATAAGTTTAGCTTTCTGAGCATGTTACAGAGTGTAGGGTATAACATGTAATATCTCACCAACTAAATTTCCACCGTTTTTGTGACAGCGGGAGAAGGACCTTCTCCCCGCACCCACTATCACAGTTTCAAAACAGCATGGCCATGCGGAGCTCCGCCTACACAACCGCACCATTCATACACAGAGTTCAGAGAATGAATTGAACTACAAGTACCATTGTCCATTACAGTTACCTATGAGGGTGCAGGTGAGCTCTCTCATAGTTTATTGATCTTCCCTGCCTGTATTGGAGGTACGGGCAGACAGAACTACTGAGAGTATGCTGGAGCCTAGCATTGCACCCGCAATCTGCTGATCAGGCTCCTAAGCAAAAAAAATACTAAACGCACATTCTTTTTTTCTTTACCTGAAAAAAAATGTGCATGTATTATTTTTTAAAAGGTGAACTTGGCCTTTAAATGTGATACTCTAAAAAGACACAGTGGCCCCCTATAAATGATATCAGTTGACATATTACACAATCATCATATAACTATAATTTTCATAACAATATAGAACAAATTACTTATTATGTTCACCTAAGAATCAAACCGAGGTATAAGTGTATTAAAGTGTTTGTCAGCTGCGGGTAATAAATAAATATCCAGAGCAAACAATGCCTTCTTGAGATCTTCCTGAACAAGATAACGGGGCTGATGAGCTGTTAAATAATGTAGGCACATCTGTTGGCAGGGAGAGGCACAGTCTCTCTTCTAATAAATAAATGAGTGTTATTGTTATTGAAGAATGGTAATCGCAGATCATTATTTTTACATGTTTTATAAATATTTACCATTTCAAAACAATGCATTATGCTAGCACACATCAACAAGTTTAATACACATTATGATTGACCCAATGGGCACAACTATTTATAATATACTGTACAGCTCTTTAACTCTTTCACTGCCAAAAATGAACATTTTTGAAACATTGCCTTCTTAAAGTGAGCTTGTTCTTTGCCCATATCTGCTTCTCCCAGCACCGTGCTCTGACATCAGACCAGAGTCTTATATATTGCAAAGAAAGCCAAAACTCGAACTGTTAAATACACCAGCCAAAATCCCACATGACAACACTCAAACTTTGCACATAGACACCAAGCTCTGCATTGTGTAGAAGAAAGGGAAGTGTCACATGAGCCCTCACATCAGACATTTCAGGTACTTCCTGGGCTGCCTTGTAGAAGATCGAGGATGCAGGAACATAAGTACATGCTGTTTAACCTCTTGCCGCTCCTGAACAATAGATTCACTGCAGCAGGGCGGCATGCATATATACTGTATATATATACTGTATATATACCATATTTTTTGCTCCATAAGACGCACCTGACCATAAGACGCACCTAGGTTTTAGAGGAGAAAAACAAGAAAAACAATATTCTGAACCAGTGGACTGCAGACATAGTACAGGAGGTGACCAGAAATTGTGGACACAGTACAGGAGATGACCAGAGACTGCGGACATAGTACAGGAGATGACCAGAGACTGCGGACATAGTACAGGAGATGACCAGAGACTGCGGACATAGTACAGGAGATAAGCAGAGACTGCGGACATAGTACAGGAGATGACCAGAGACTGCGGACATAGTACAGCAGATGACCAGAGACTGCGACATAGTACAGCAGATGACCAGAGACTGCAGACACAGTACAGGGATGACCAGAGACTGCAGACACAGTACAGGAGATGACCAGAGGCTTCTCGCGCATGCACGGTGGGCTCCCAGCTGTCACAGCCAGGTTTCCACACTAAAGATGCCAGCGTGGGAAGACTGCGCAGCTCTGGACGGAGGAACAGGTAAGGTCCTGCTGCAGAGAAGAGCTGAGCGGCCGGCCCAGTATTCTGACATGGTGTCGGTGGCGGAAATAGCGGACCGGCCGCTCCATATTCGCTCCATAAGACACACTGACATTTTCCCCCCTTTTTTGGGGGGAAAAAGTGCGTCTTGTGGAGCGAAAAATATGGTATATATATATATATATATATATATATATATATATATATATATATACATATACACGTGATTGAGCCTACACCTGTTCAGGTACATGGCACCTGGCTACCTGTACCATTAGCTTAGCCAATTACAGATCACAATCAAAAGCAAGCTGTCCATTAATGGGAAACCCATTCATTCATATATTGCTTATACAGTGATCTTCACTGTATAAGCAATAACAGTGTAAAGAAAAATTCTTGAACATCACCCCCCATGTCACTATGGTGACACTAAGCTACTCTGATGACAGGATGCAAAAAAAAAGTTTTAAAAATGTTTTAAAAAAAGTGAATTAAAATATTTATTTATTTTTACATACTGTCAGCATCAGTATCCCTGATCACCGACACAAAAGTCATAATGACGCGTACTACACTGGTGACAGTATGTTAGAAAAAAATAGTGAAAAAAAAAGTTTATTTAATTTCTTTATTTTCCAAAAAATTGTGACAAAAAATACAACGTAAAAATACTTGCCGTGCTTCTTACCAAATGCCTCAGACTGTCTACTTTCTAAAAAGTCATTTGGGGGGTATTTGTACTGTTCTGGCATTTAAGGGACTCAAGAAATGTGACTGTCAGTTAAAAAGAAAAAGAAAAACCTGTGCAATAAGTCCATCCGTGAAATTTCCTTGCTACTAAATATTCCACGGTCAACTGTTAGTGGTATTATAACAAATTAGAAGCAACTGAGAACAACAGAAACTCAGCCATGAAGTGGTAGGCCTCGTAAAATGACAGATCGGGGTCTGCGCATGCTGAAGCACACAGTGCACAGAAGACACCAAGGGGTTTATTTACTAAAGCTGGAGAGTCCAAAATCAGACTCCCTTCTGCATAGAAACCAATCAGCTTCTAACCTCAGCTTGTTCAATGAAGCTTTGGCAATGAAACCTGGAAGCTGATTGGTTTCTATGCAGAAGTGAGTCTGATTTTGCACTCTCCAGCTTTAGTAAATAAACCCCCAACTGTCTGCAGAGTCAATAGCTAAAGACCTCCAAATTTCATGTGGCTTTCAGATTAGTACAACAACAGTGTGTAGAGAAAATGGAATGAGTTTCCATGGCAGAGCAGCTGCATCCAAGCCTTACACCACCAAATGCAATGTAAAGTGTTGGATGCAGTGGTGTAAAGCACGCCACCACTGGACTCTAGAGCATTGAAACATGTTATCAGGAGTGACAAATCACGCTTCTCTGTCTGGCAATCCGATGGACGTGTCTGGGTTTGGAGGTTGCCAGGAGAATGGTACTTGCCTGACTGCATTGTGCCAAGTGTAAAATTTGGTGGAGGGGGATTATGGTATGAATTTGTCTTTCAGGGGTTGGGCTTGGCCCCTTAGTTCTAGTGAAGGGAACTCTTAAGCCGTCGGCATACCAAGACATTTTGGACAATTTCATGCTTCTAACTTTATAGGAACAGTTTGGGGATGGCCCCTCCTGATTCAATATAACTACGCACTAGTGCACAAAGCAAGGTCCATAAAGACATGGATGAGCGAGTTTGGGGTGGAGGAACTTGACTGGCCTTCCCAGAGTCCTGACCTCAACCCGATAGAACACCTTTGGGATTAATTAGAGCAGAGACTGCCAGCCAGGCCTTCTCGTCCAACATCAGTGCCTGACCTCACAAATGCACTTCTGGAAGAATGGTTCCCATAGACACACTCCTAAACCTTGTGAACAGCCTTTCCAGAAGAGTTGAAGCTGCTATTGCTGCAAAAGGTGGGCCAACTCAATATTGAACTCCACGGTCTAAGACTGGGATGCCATTAAAGTTCATGGGCATGTAAAGGCAGGCGTCCCAATACCTTTGGCAATATAGTGTGTGTGTGTATATACTGTATCTATCTATATATATATATATATATATATATATATATATATATATATATATATATATATCACAGTTTGTAGACACTATAACTTTCACACAAGCCAATTATTATACACTTATTGGGATTTTTTTTTTTTTTTGCATTTTGGTGTCAATTTATAAGCTTTATAAGCAGTCACAACAAACAGTTTTTTTTTTCCTTTTAGGATAAAGGTTTTACATGAATAACTAACAGCTAATCATTGTAAGCATCCCTGCCCATGTTAAATGGTTTGTCTCATCTCTGTAACTGATACTTTCTGCTGAAGAGCTTATTCTTTTGAAAAACAACAAACTTATTGGTGGGATCACCAGGCAAAAAGACAAGAAAGAAGACCTAAAAATGAATGCAGCCATCACATCTAAGAAATGGTACAAAGCTGCAATACAACAAATGGTTTATTTTGGGTTTATTACCACTTTAAATAGTCCTGTGTTTGTCCAGAAAAATACAGGTTCAAGTTAGTAATCAGAAGAAAAAAAGCAGCACACACACTTGTATGGTGGGCTACTTTAATGCCTGAACAGCTTGCAATAACTAAAGGACAGGTCAATTGCAAGTTACAATTCTTCAGGAGATCACTTTTGACCTAAAAATTAAAAAATCCTACTCTTGGGTTTTGGAACATGACAGGATCCAAAACCCAAAAGTAAATCAAAGTAACAAATCAAAAATAATTGTGTCTCAGAATAACCATATCAGAGTGTTGACTTCAATCCCCTTGAAATGCTGTAGTATGAACTGAAATAAAACTTTCAAGCAAGATATCCCAAAATCATACATGAATTGAAACATTTCCCACAGTTCTGAGCAGCAGCTGCTGAAGTTACTTGTTTTAGGTTACCGTTGATACAGGACATACTTACACATACTTATTGATCAATGGCTTTAACTGTTATTGAATAAAATGTCTTAACCCTGTCATGTCCAGGGGTAAACAAAACCTCCATGACCAGACCAAATTTAGAAGTTCAGGTATGCACCGCTTTACTAAACCTCAACTTTTTAACTTCTATGCATATCGCAATGATTTTCACACAGTTTTTTTATCACAGATCGGGTATTCATTTAGTCAATTTTCTAAATACCCTAATTACATATAAATGGAGAACTGGACAAATATGCAAAAAAAAATAAATATGCAGCTTTACACGTTTAATGCATACCTTGGCACAATCAGTACTAGCTCCTAAATTATTTTTCCTATCTATTCTTGGTACAAAAACCCCAAATAAATGTAACTTTTGATACATACATCGGCTATGTACAGTCCATGGCTATGTACAGTCCATAAACAAGTGCATATATTTTAGATTTCCAAATATACGTTTTTTTCCAGTACATTGGTTGCAATTAACAGACTTTTCTACTGTAATAGCCTCATTGTTCAATAGCAAAGCTTAGGAAACAAAAATGGGTGTGCCAGACTCCCAATCTAATCAGTCTATCTATTCTTTAAGTCAGTATATTTCATTCCCCCTGCATTCCTGGTGTGAGAAGCAAGGCAGGCAAGGGCTATGTCAGACAGTGCTGAATCATATAAGCATTTGATATCTATTTTAAAGATACAATATTATTTTTCCTGTCAAAGGACACTCACTGTTAAAAAACAAGCTCCCTCTGAGTGTACACCCCTGTTGTATTACACTGATTTAGCGACTTTCTGGTGATTATTTTAAATAACTTAAAAAAAAAATATATATATATATATCCACATCTACAGTGCATTCATAAAGTATTCATGTTTTTCTTATTAATCTACACTCAGTACCCAATAATGACAAAGTGAAAAAAAACAGAATTTTAGAAATGTCTGTGAATTTATTAAAAAAGAAAAAACAGAAATATCACATGTACTTATGTATTCAGACCCTTTACTCATTACTTTGTTAAATCATCTTTGGCAGCAATTACAGCCTCAGATTTTTAGGGGGTATTATGCGACAATCTTTGCACACCTGTATTGGAGGATTTTCTGCCATTCTTCTTTGCAAATCCCCTCAAACTCAGTCACGTTGGATGGGGGTTGTCAGTGGATGGCCATTTTCAGGTCACTCAAGAGATGTTCAATAGGGTCCAAGTCAGGGCTCTGGCTGTGCCACTGAAGGACATTCACAGAGTTGTCCCTTAGCCACTCTTGTGTTATCTTGCCTGTGTGCTTAGGATCGTTGTCATGTTGGAAGGCCCAGTTTGAGGTCCTGAGTGCTGTGGAACAAGTTTTCATTGAGGATATCTGTAGTTTGCTCCATACAGCTTTCCTTCAACCCTGTTCAGTATCCCAGTCCCTGCTGTTGAAAAACACCCCCACAGCATGATGCTGCCATCACCATGCTTCACTGTTAGAATGGTATTGGGCAGGTGATGAGCAGTTCCTCCAGACATATAATTGAGGCCAAACAGTTCAATCCTGATTTCATCAGACCAGAGAATCTTGCTGCTTACAGTCTAAGAGCTCCTTAGGTGCTTTTTTTTGCAAACTCCAAGTGGGTTTTCATGTGTTTTGCACTGAGGAGAGGCTTCCATCTAGCCACTCTGTCATAAAACTCAGATCGGAAGTCGACTGCAGTGATGGTTGTCCTTCTGGAACTTTGTCCCATCTCCACACAGGATCTCTGGAGTGCAGTCAGAGTGACCATCCGGTTCTTGGTCACTTCTCTTACTAAGGCCTTTCTTTCCTGATTGGTCAGTTTGGCTGGGCAACCAGGTCTTGGGAGAGTCCTGTTTGTGCTACATTTCTTCAATTTGAAGATTATTTGAAGAGGCCAATGTGCTCTTGGGAACCTTCAGTGGAGCAGAAATATTTTGTAGTCTTCCCCAGATCTGTGCTTTGCAATAATCCTGTCTTTGAGTTCTGCAGGCAATTCCTTTGAGCTCATGGCTTTTGCTCTGATACAGTATGCATTGTCAACTGTGAGGCCTTTTATAGAGGTGTGTGTCTTTCCAAATCATTTTCAATCAATTTAATTTACCACAGGTGGACTCCAATCAAGGTGTATAAA